ATATTATTATTATTATTATTATTATTATTATTATTATTATTATACTTAGCATGGAAAACTTAAATCCAAGTGTGGTGAGAATATGTTCCCACTGCTACCTTACTGAGCTATTCAGTCTTCACTGTAAGTCTTGGAAGTCAAACAAAATTGTGAGATAAAATCACACAAATTATCAGTGAGTATTGCGGCCCATAACTGCGAGACTTAGCAGGTCTGGCATACTGCATGTCAAGAATTATAGTTACTCTCCAAGGCATATAAATAATTTGGACAAAGTATATGTACACATACCACTTATGGCTTTAGCAAATGATTTCTCCCATGCATACATCTTAATCAGCTTGATACAATTCAAAATTTCATTCATCATGCACACCTGCAAGGTAAACCAGCAGAAACTGAAAAAATTAAACACACAGGTGATCTGTGAGATTCCCACTGCCTCCTTCTCCCTGGGGAAACCTTTAGGGAGCTTTAGCAATGACCACAGAGATGCTGAGGATGACTGATCACCTTGTAAAAAATGGATTTATATTTTACATTTGAATGTCACAATTGTGTAGATCTGTTTAGGATGCCTACTGGTCTAAAAGCTAGCTCATGCTAAATATGTTATGACAGTGCATGTTCAATTCCAAAGGGAGGTCCAGAAAATCAGTCATTACACTTCATGCTCACCAAAATAAGCAAAACTAGGTCATTTCACTCTGCTGTTTTGCAGATGATGGGTAAGGAATGTTGCAATATTCAAAACGTACATGCCATTTTTCTGCTCATAAATGTTTTGTTTGGTGATGGCCTTTTAACAGGATCTTTGAGGATCTTACAAAAGTTTTTTACACCTACTAAGGATCCTTTGTAAAAGATCTTTGAATGATCTTGTAAAGATCGATAAATAAAAGATGTTTGCAAAGATCTCTACCTGAAAAATGTTGTTAAGACCTTAGCAAGATCTTTGAGGGAGGATCTTCAGTGGGCAAGAGTTATGAAGATCTTGGCAAGAATCTTAAAGAACCTTTTAAATATCCTTAAGATTTTTGACCAAGATCCAGGGTTTTCAATAAGTTTTGAAATAGCCATCTGACCTAACTAAAGTAGGCAGCAAACTAATGAATTTTTTTAATAATTTGAGTGAAAATACAGACAAAGTAGGCCGCGGCAAGAGGTAAAGTCTGACAAAGTAGGCTGGGATTTTCGCCGGTTGCCGGCTTCTAATGAAACCCCTGAAGATCTTTGAGGATTTTGATTAGGATAATGGATAAACTCCTCATTAATTCTTGAAATATTTTCACCAGGCTGGGCTTTCCTATCTTCAACCAAGTGTGTAAAGATTGCTTTAATGTTTATTCTGTACCAGTCAGTATCTACATGTTCTTACCCTCCGATCAGAGATTCCAACTGCTCTGAAACGAAATCTGCCTTGAAGTCTTCCAACCACAGCCTGAAAACATCAATACAAATCACTCAATATTAACATCTTACCCACTATTCCTGTGGTTTTCAAGTTAACACCACTATCTGAACATTGTGTTGCTTGACCATTTCCTTCTGTTAGGATTTGCTTCAAGACCAAAATGTGATTGACATGATGCTTATAAACTTTATTTATCTCAAGTCTAAAAATAATTATTAAACTAATAACATCTAATAATTAATAATAAAGCCTACATATTAGAGCACCTAATTAATTCTTTGATGCAATTATAAATTGTTTTAGCAAATTAAGAAACTTCAAACTTCAATCATTACTTCTGTTGATGTGTAGTACATTCCACTCTACTTCACATTAGTGATAGTAATCATGTGGAGTATTTAAGTGACCACAGCTATGGGGCAGTTTTTAATTGAGTATCATGGAACCAGAACCAAGGTAATTACCCTGGTCAATCAAAAAAGACACAGACAATCCAGTGAACCAACCAAAACTCCAAGCTAATACATGAAGCTGACACAAGGCCCATGAAAATGTGTGTGAGTGAGTGACAGTTGGTTTTGGTTTTCATTGGATGACAAACAAGCCCAAGTTTTTTGCATTCCTCGTGTAGCATGGTAATGCAAAACAAACTGCAAAATGGAACGACTTAAGGTATGAGTGGTAATTCTTCAATCTCCAACAATTCCTTAGTAGCCAAAAGTAATGAAGCCTTGTTATTAGATTCAATATACACTGCAGTCAGTGGTGAACCTTAAAAAAGGTTGTATAAAGGGGTGCAAGGAATTGACTGACTAAGTTTTACTTTACACTAAATCTAAGTAAGTGAATATAGTAATGAGGAGGTCATATTAACAAGGAGAATTTAAGGCAGGGTTGTCCCGTTTAACTGCTTAATATTTAGTTCAACATTACCTGGATTGGGAAAAAGCAAAGAAATATGCCGCATCCAATCAGAGCTGATGGTCCAATATAGATGATGGTGTAAATGATGGTGCAAACAATTATGACAGGAAAACCTAAAAAAATAGGAAGAGGGAAATGGAGAGAATGAAATGTCTTGCCCAAGAACAATTCTTGCCAAGACACAAACCAGGCCTGTCACACGGATGCACCAATCATTAGGCCACTAAGTCCCACAGGAGGGCTGAGAGGACTGCAAATAACCTATTTACTTATTGTTACAAACAGCAACATATTTACAAGCATACATACCTAGAACAAAACTACTTAGTGCTACTCCTTGGTAGACTCTGTCAGCATCAGAGGCACACAAGTTGACAAACTGAAATAGAATGTAAATTATACAGAGTTTTGCATAAACTGCTTAATCAAGACAACCATAACATTTGCATTACATGACTCAGGCACGATCATTTCTGTCTTATTAAAGGAATTTGAAAGTACCTAATGTCCACTGTCACATTGATCACTCATAGCTGAGAAATAAATTGCTGAGAGAAAGCAATTTGCCCGGGCAAAGAAGTGTGTAGCATTTCACATACAAAGTTACTATAGACACTCCAAGAGCGTTTACTCAGACTTAATATCGCAAAATCAAATTGTACTTTACAAGTAAACTTATTGAACACAATAAAAACAAATAAAAGAATCAGGATATTTTAACACAAGAGTTACACTTAGATATTTACTATCAAGTAGTTTTGTTGAGTACATCTGTATCCTCTGTATCCAAGTGTTGTTTGCCTCATCTTCAACGACGACTCTTGATCTTTTCAAAATCTGAGGTGTTCGTCTCGGCATATTTTGTACATGGCTCATTTGTTATCTTGCGAGAACAAGCATGAACTTTGCTTGTTATATAGAAAGTGCAAAGGGGGTTCAGAATAAATAACTGCACAGCATAATTTTCTGACTATACCAGCAGTACAGATACTACGTAGTGATCTCATGGATTTATGGCTTCTTCATGTAAGAGAGATGCCTGTGTACACAAAGCATTTATTCCATTGTATAGCAAAATCAGACACAGCAGAATTCTTCACCTCTCCAATAGACTTATCTCCCACATTCCTCAGTTTTGACACCTTGTTGTAAACCAGTGTAAGAACCATAGCCCTTGCTCTAGCTCCAGTGCGAGCATTTGTGAAGAAAGCCATTGACAACAAGACACTTCTTGTTAGCTCTGCCAGTAGAAGCCCAATAACCTGCCAAATTGGTCAAATATTGATCACTAAATATTTGGAATACAGTGGAACCCCACCTTATAGCCACCACGTTAATACAGTCACCTCATTATCAAGGTCACTTCATTCTAGCCCGAACCCAAATGACTGAAGAGGTTAACTGGTAAGAGAGATATTTCTATCACAATCCATCAGAAAATTCAGGTCCTCAATTCGTCACTGAAAAAGCTCATTTAATTTAATGATAGTGTGAAGGTTGAACATGCAAAGGCCTAAACTTCTCCCTTACCATGAAATGTTTTCTTAATAAAATTATTTCTTCATGGGTCTTTTGGTAACTCTGTTTTTAACTGTATAAGTAGAACACAGCAAACTTACCCAACCAATTCCTTCCACTTTTGATACTGAGTCTTTCTCTTCTACATATTCCAGAATTTGACGAACAAAGAGTGCCTGTTAATAACATGTCCAAATTAACTAGTAAAACAGTGACATAATTTAATACAAAAGCTTTGCATAACTTTACATAATTTGGTTCAAAAGATACTAACAAAGACTTTTAATGTATTTAACAACTGCAGAACTTCTTAGTTATAACTATTAATTACAGGGTTGTCAAAAACCTTAAATTCACGGCTTTATTGTTAGAGTAGGTAGCTGATTTAAATTCCCATCTTTTCCTAAAACACCACAAATGATTACCTCAGAGAGACCAACAGAGACTGTAAAGTAAATGGTGATTTTTGCTTGTAGTGGGCTTGTTATGATGACCCTGAATTTGACATGCTGCATAAACTAATGTGGTCCAAGTTCAAATGCAAAGTCCCTTCCATATAAAAGATTGTTAATGGTACCAAGAACAATTCTTAGGTTTCTCAAACTTTTGATCTGATCTGAAATCTTAGAAAGCTTTGTAATGAGTTACAAAGTTTCTTTTTCTGTGTTTCTTTCCGTCTCAGGTTCTAAAATACTGGTTTATCAGTCAGATTTTTAAAATTACGAGGATCTCAACATCTCACCAAGTTACAGATTTTACCATTTGTTACCCTAATATACACTGAGTGCACTGACACCAACAATGTTTGCCTCTCCTCTCCACTCCCCTCCCATCTAACCAAAGAAAGGCCTTTTAACCAATAATAATCACAGGTTTCATTATCTAAATTTCATTGTATTGCTTTTCCCTCTTTCATCTTTTGGATCTAAGAACAAAATTCCAGAAAACTAACCTTGTGCTAAAAATGTGCTGTTCCAGAAAACATCCATACCCCTCCCATGGGGGGTTTTTGGTTTGGAACACCTCCCTCCATCCCTCTGGAAATTACAGTTTTAGTTTCCTTTAAACATTTTGGCTTTTGACATCCCCCTCCCCCTTAGAATATCCAATAACCTTCTTTGGAGTGGGTATGGATCTTTTCTGGAACCACACAATGGTGCTAGGTTTCTTCCAGTAAAATAAACATGTCAATCAAGATAATGATTTTACTCACTGGCACAAGAAAGCTAACTAGTTGAGATACAAGTAAAAAGATAATCCCAAATGATATCCTGGTTCGCACTGCTCTCCAAAGTACTCGGTGCATGCTGGCATTTTCAAGTCCCTTTTGTTTGACTTCATCATTCCATAGTCTAGTGATGCGTTTAAAGTTGACTTCAGCTGACTCATAAGGAGAAATTTTATCAAAATCATCCAGCTGTAGAGTCTTCTTGAAACCCTTGCTGATGACTGGAGATGCCCAGGTGAGAAACATCAAGGACAGGAAACCCGCTTCATCAATAGCTGGTTTAGAAGGATCTCTACAAATGACAAACATAATAATGTAAGCTGATAAGACATTTGATTTAAATAATTATGTACCTTTAGATTTTACATCAGATATCATTTGAAGTTCTGTAACAACAACGAAGGAGTTACCAGACCAGCCACTAAGTACCTTCAGAATAGTAGAATACATAATAGTACAGTGGAACCCTGTTAATCTGGTCACCAACGGGACACAAAAATCTGGCCGTATAAATGGGGTGGCTGTATTAAAGGGGTTCTTAAAATAAGAAAATAACTGACTGAGCTTTTGTTCAGGCCAGAATAAAATGGCCGTAATAATGAGGTGGCCGTATAAGAGGAGTGGCCGTAAGGTGGGGTTCCACTGTATAGTAGTATTGATAATAACCATGGAATTGGAACAGTTTATTTCTGTGTTCCAATTTTGTGGCTTCGCTATCAATTAAGAAATAATTCTTAAAAGTAATTATTGTTACTATTATTATTATTATTATTATTATTATTATTATTATTATTATTATTATTATTTATTATGTTTCAAATCAAATGAAACCATAGACCATAGTGACAACTCTCCAAAACCAGTGACCATCCAAAAGTAGTGATTAATTTTCATGGTTGTAAGCAAATCCCAGATGTAGAAACTCTCAGAAAGTAACACCCATGTGAATGTAGTGACCTCAAATATAACTTGACTTCTCATGAGAAACAATGGTAGAAACACAAAAAAACTGAACCAAAATTCTTATATTTGTTTCACATTACTCTTATGACAAAGGCAATACATTACCCCCTCATTACGCATAGTATAAATTCTTGAGAAAAACACATTCCCTTTCTTCTCTCTGTACTTAAGAACATCTTTAGTACTTAAAAGTGAATACTATGACAAAATTGGATCATGTATACTAAACACCTCTGTGGTCAAGTGTTGATCAATGTTCTTGACAACACTTGATTGACACTTGATCGGCATCTTGGTCAACAGTTGGTTGAGAGTTGACTAATTCTTGCAGACATGCCATCGAGTGTTGATGAATACATACGAGTCAGTCAACACTCGACTATCGACCAAATGCTAACTATTGACTGAATGTTGATCGAGACATTGATTGAGTGTCAGCCGAGTATCGCTCTAGATGTTAATAAAGTATCAATCAAGATGTCAATCAACACTTGACCGCAGATGGCTTTAGTACATGTGATCCATGAAATTAGCATTCTGTTCCAAGTAGCTGTTAAGTAAGTCAAATACTGTTTACTATTTTCAAAAATCTCTTTCCATTCCAGAGATATTCAAGTTTTTAAAATATGCAAATAAGCCCAGTGATGACAACATAAACTCAAACAGACTTCGATAAAATATGATGAAAAAGATATCTCAACCAATTTGTATCATAAACATTTGATTGGCTGTTTTTTTACTAGAGGACGCATTATCCGTCCAGAAGGATAATGCGTCCTCGCCACTTTTATACTAAAGATGCATTATCCATCTGGACGAACTTGAGCAAACATTTGTAGTTTGTCTATACTTCAAAATTCGTCTTGAACAACGAACTAGGAGAGATAGTTCGTCTAGACGCATAGGATGTCTTGTGCCCGTCTTCGTACTAGAGATGCATAACCAGACAAACTACAAATGTTTGCCCAAGTTTGTCCAGACGGATAATGCGTCTTTAGTATAAAAACCGCCATTCTTCGTAGTATGATTCTATAAGATGTGCTCCACAATATGATCTTCACAATTTTGTTACCCTCGGCTGTTAGTCAGCACATCTCAGATGAATAAATCATCTCCTAATATAAATTCTCTGGTATAAGTTTGGCCAATTCCCCACCCCCACCCCCCCTCCTCAAACACTCATTTTTTTTTCTATTCAATCATAAAAACAGCAGAGTAAAATGTCTTCTGCACTGTACAAATATATATATCTAAACTTAGGTTAAGAGGTTCGTTTTCTTATATAATTAATTACGTAACGATGAACTATTTCAAGAAAAATGGTAAGCTTGATTTGAGTCCACTTATGATTATTAATTTTTAGCTATTATTTAATAGTAACTCAGTTTTAGCTAGGTGTTTATAGCAGAGGTTATCTGTTAAGCTTTTCGAACTCGTTAGATAAAGTTATTGCCACTGTTGACATTGCAGTTGGTTTCTAAACTTATATTTCAATGAGCTAGCTATCTCCAAGTTGTTTACCTCTGTTTGCAAATTAAATAATTCAACTTGTCGTTTCAAAGCAGTGATGTCATATCAGCTACAAATAAGATGAGGAGTAGTGAGTCATCACTTAAAGAGAAAACGAAGCTTCGACTTAAATCAGCTTAGAAGTTCTTAGTTAGGCTCACGTAACTTACGTACCTCCGTGCAAATGGTAAGAAATTCTTCCAGTTGTATTTGGATAGACCAACTGGCCTTGACATTTCTTGTTCATTGTCAGTGCTTTCTGCTCTTCGTTCACCGACATCATCCTGTACAAGTGGTTTTATGCTGATCAGTTGAACAGGCTTATTGTTTTCGTCGTTGCTGAATCGAACTTGAGGCAAAGGTTCGTCGTGTAAGTTTAAATTCGAAGGTCTGTCTTCATGATCTGTACTGGTTGCGCTAAATTGTTCAGAATCCATTCAGTTCGTGCAGAGATATCACTACAAGTGTCTTATTTGAAAGAGATAGTCGTTGAACTAATTAACCCCTAGCTGATAATTTTCTAAGAACATAACAAACGTCGTCCTTGTGATGCAAATTTCGGTCAAACACTGATAGTCGAGATAGCGTCGATCATCTTGTTCCCAGGCTTATACCGCGTGCAGTTTGATTCTGAACAAATGCAGGAATGAACGACGGAACGGACTCGCTGTAGTGGCGGACGACTGTTGGAACATTCGAAGCAAAATGATGTCACAGTATGTGTTTTATTCAGAGGT